AAGAAAGAAAGAAAGAAAGAAAGAAAGAAAGAAAGAAAGAAAGAAAGAAAGAAAGAAAGAAAGAATGAAAAAGAAAAAGTGAGAAAGAAGAAAAAGAATAGAAATAAAGAATGTGAAAAAGAAAATTATAGAAGAAGGATAGAATATGAAAAACAAAGGAAGAATGAAAGGAAGTAAAAATATGAAAAAGAAGGGAAGAAAGAATTTGAAAAAGAAAGAATGAGAGAAATATAAATAGAAGTAAGAAAGAATATAAAATAAGAGAGAAAAAACAAGGAAATAAAGAAACAATATGAAAAAATAGAAGGAAGAAAGAAAAAAAGAAAAAGAAACAGTTGATAAAAAACAGATAGATAGATAGATAGATAAATAGATAGATAGATAGATAGACAGATAGATAGATAAAAGAAGAAAAAGAAAGGAAGAAAGAAAGAGTGGGGGAAAAGAAACAGAAGAAAGAAAGAATATGAAAAAGAAAAGAAGAAAGAATATGAAAAAGAAAAGAAGAAAGAATATGAAAAAGGAAGAAAGAGAGAAAAAAGAAACAGAGAAGAAAGACAATAAAAAATAAAAGAAAGGAAGAAAAAATATGAAAAACATAAAGAATGAATATGAAGAAGAAAGAAAGACATAATACGAATAAAAATTTTGAAAAAGAAAGAAAAAATACAAGAAAGTAAGAATAATATGAAAAACAAAGAAAGGAAGAAAGAAAGTGAAGAAATATTATGAAACAATGAAAGAATATGAAAAAGAAAGAAAGAATACAAAAAAGGAAGAAGAATATAAAAAGAAAGAAAGAAAGAATACAAGAAAGGAAGAAAAATATAAAAAGAAAAAATACAAGAAAGGAAGAAGAATATAAAAAGAAAGAAAGAAAGAATACAAAAAAGAAAGAAGAATATAAAAAGGAAGAAAGGAAGACAGAATACGAAGAAAGAAAGAAAGAAAGAAAGAAAGAAAGAAAGAAAGAAAGAAAGAAAGAAAGAAAGAAAGAAAGAAAGAAAGAAAGAAAGAAAGAAAGAAAGAAAGAAAGAAAGAAAGAAAGAAATACAAAATTAAATACAAAAAGATAGATAGATGGATGGATGAATGTTCTGTATGGTCTTTTGGAGAAGTGTTCATATCAGTATATACACCACTGTGAGATCAGTGTGTGAGGTTTAATAACGGAGCTCCGGCTTGCACATTTTTCACAGTGGAGGAGGAGGTGGTGTCCTCTAAGTGCCTGTGATTAAAGTTTCACAGTGAGACTCTACAAGGCCCAGCAGGCTGTTCCACCATAACACTCCCTTCCTCCATCCACTCCACCTGCCTCTGCCCTGCAGGAGATGTCCGGCTTCCAGATCACAAAACATCTACTGCGTTCACAAACAACAAAAGCTACATACGAGCATCTCAACACACTGTGGCCATCGCGTTTTGTTTACGGTAGTATGGGGTCTACTGTCATCATGCTGAGATTTCTCACACATTATTATTGCTGGATCTCAGTAGCATGGAGGTGAGGAATAGGATGAAGGGAGGGAGTGAGCGAAAAGAGTGGGCAGCAGGTCATTGGGTTCATCCGCTGACTCACGTTTGCCACTCTGCTCATCGGGATCACAGTTTCTCTCATCGATTTTCGCTAACCTTTTGGTTATGACTGCAGTGACATTTTAACTGTAGATCCCCGCTGAGATATTCCATCTGGAGTATGTTTTCCAAGCTGAAGATTTGATATTTAATGGAATCAGATCAGATGGTAATAGATCTGTGTTTGATTAATGCACATATGCTTGTGTACCACATTAATAGAGAGAGCAGACTGTAGAAATTCTGTTTAAGACAAGTTGTTGAACGTATTGGGCAACATTTTTCAGGCATTTAAATATGGCTTATTTCCTCCTGAAAGATTGCTATCTATGACAGATTTAGCTAGTGATGTGTTCTTGTTGGAAATATTGTATTCATGAGTTGTTTCCAGACTTCGAGACCAAAGATTTTAAATAGAAGGCATATCACTAAACAGACATTTTCAATTAACCCATTTAAGCCCACAAGTAACTGTAGTTGCCAAAGTTCATAGTAGCCATTTTCCTTTTCTAAGTAATTTTCTACATGTTATCCATGGTCAATTTCTCAATGAAATGCAAGCAAACAACCAAATAGAAGATTTCAAGAAAGAAAAAAATGAATAAATTTTAATTTGCTTTACATAAAGCTTTCAGCTTCCCCTAATTTCAGGATTAAAAATGGATACAAACCCTTCCAAAGTCAATTTTTATGTTACAAAATTTTTATTTCCTTCACAAATGTATATCCACCTAATCATGAAGGTCTCTAGATTCATTCAAACAGAACAAATCCTTCAAAAGATCTATAGTTTTTTTGTATACTTCAAGTAGCAACTATAGTTGGGAATTAGGAAATAATGTGTTAATAAGTTAATAAATCAAGGTTGTTGGTTTTGTTTAATGTTTTTTTTTTTTTTTTTTTTTTTTGATACAGCAAAATCCTCAGAGAAAAATTAACTTCTACCACTGGGAAATAACACTTAAAATAACACTGGAGCAGAGTTAAAGTGCTGATTGAACAGAGAATAATTAAATCCCGCTGAAAACTACAACTGAATTCAGTCATAATTTGTCTAAATTGCCAACACAATTTCACGGCAATTCGTAACTTTTTGATTTAGTGGCTAATTCATATGAATTCCTACAATCTAATTCGTACAATTTTGTACGATTTGCTCATCACCCAATGACGGTTGGGGTTAGGGGTGGGATTGGGTACCACGCCTTCTTTTTAAAATCTTACATTTTTATACGACTGAACTCAAAAGAATTCATACGAATTAGCCACTCAACTGACAAAACATAAAATGCTTAGTTTCCTCGTGAGATCAGGCTGAAATTGTAGCTTTTTTCTACAAAAAATGCAGTATCAGGTCACTGAAACATTTTTTTTTAATTAAACTTTTGTCGGGTTGATAATTTTCAAAGCAATAGGGTCTTTGTTTTTTAGAAAATTGAGAAAAAAAGGTTTTGTTTACAAAAATAACTACACGTGTGGACATGGCCTTAGAAACTCTAATAAAAACTCTATTCACGGAAATGACTTTAATTGATCTGTTGAAAGCAGTTGTTTTGAGTTAGAATGCTAAATGTTCTCCTCCTATTCAAATTTATACATATATTGTCCATTATAAATGTATTTCTCCACCGGCAACTATAGTTGCTGCATATTCAAACACAATTTTCAGGCCAAAAATAAATAGATAAATAAATAACCTGAAGAAAATAAATGCAAAACATGTTCATATAGGACACTATTAACAAGACTACATGCATGAAACCATTTTTAAAATAATTGGGCACAATTGGGTTAAAAGCCAAGCATTTTAGGGCTTGAAAATGCAAATGTTGTGAAAAGTGAAATTTGTTGTTAGAAAAGTATATATTATTGCTTCCATTTAAATCATGAAAACTTATTTTTTTTGAAAATGGTGATATCCAATGATATATGTACAGTATTATATGTTAAGTCTAAAGAAAAGTGCAGGTTCCTGGCAAACAAAACAAATAATGGCAGATTTAATTCCAATTGAGTATGGACAATGGGTATAGTTGGTAAATTTGTATCAAACTGCTGCTTGTAACAATAAAGCTAGCTAACTTCCATGCATTAAAAAGCCATCGACTGTTGTCAGATTTGGAATATGATTATTTTCATGACTGAGACTGAGAATATTATGACATAGGAACTCAAGTAGCTACTGTGAAAATGGCTAATCTGCAACGGAATAAGCTTTAATACTAAAGATGTTTTTTTCCCAGTAGAGTTAGGATCTCTTTTCCAACCCCCAGTAAACCTTACTTTTGAATTGCTGATATAAAAGCTTAAATATCACGTGGAGCATGAATCTAATAGTGTTGAGGAGGGGACAAAAACAGAAAGGAAGAGCTAAAATGTAGAGAGCTGTGAAAACAAGTAAAGTACAGCAAAAAATGGGGTCAACCCTAGTTTATGTAACTCCACGGCAAGGTTGAGTAGACTTACTGCAGTGCAGGGTTTTTCAGTCACTGTGCTCATATACAAACAAACACGGTTGTTGTCTTTAGGATAGAGATCATCAGATGGGTCTCCATTTCTCACTTTATTAGACTTAAGGTCTTGTTGACCCTCACAGCATGTTGACCCCTTCTGTTACACACACTGTTTGAATTATTAACCCTCTGGCAGTGAGAAAGAGCACATAAGCGAACAAGAACAACATTACAATAACCAGTTACAATACCCATTAGAAAACTAGGCTTGTTTGAGGTGGTTTTAATATCAATAGAACCAACTAAAAGTTATTTCAGTGATATTCTAGTTTCTAGATATGTCTTGGTTTTATTCTGCTATATAGGTTTAAATGGATCCGATGTGTTTTAACCACTAGAAGTATATTCTCTCTCTCTTCTTTTTCATAATATTTGTAACTCCTGGTTACTGGAGCAGTGACCGTTTCATTCTGAGGCTAATCCATAAAATGCACTAAGAGCGCATAGTCTGAACAGAATCTTATAATTGTACCTGCTGAAATATGGAGATGAGACTTTCCTTCTACTCTTCTCACTGGATTAGAAGAAATTAGGTCAGAATGGCATTGAAGAATATATAACTGGGTTCAGCTTTAAGACTACTGCTGGGAAGCCTTGATCTTCTGCCATAATTGCTGTATTGTCGGCTTCTTATGGAACTGAGACGAATCTCAACAAATTCTTCTTCTCATTCAGCAGGGGAGGGTGTGTGAAGCATTGTTATATAAATGTTATGCATTTCTGTGACCGCACCTTGGAACAGGTGTGCTGTCATGTTCTCATATGTGACTTGAAATCCACCCATTGCATACTTAGAAACCCCAAACCTCCTGCATGTCTCATTTGTCTGTAGCTATCTAAACTATTCTTGTGTATAGACTTAATCTTTCCCTGTTCTTTTGTTTAAAATGTGTTGTGCTTCTTTTTTTTCAGGGAAAACTGCTGCAGGGCTGATCATGACCATGAGGTCAACAATTAGGAACATGGCCGTCTGGAAGTGCATCTAATCCACTGCTTCGGCCTCAGGTACTGCTGCTGATCTTATATACATGATGTCATGATGTGCAAACACAATAGAGATGTGGTTTTGAGGCAGCTTAAAACCTTGTAGCACAATATCAGAAGTTCAGCCATTTAGAATGTTGCTGAGCTTAAGACACACAAACAACCCAGGCTCATTCTGAAAATGTATGTCTACATACATTTCTGAAGTGCACCCAATACATCCCAGTAGAGCTGCACGATTCTGGCTAAAATGAGAATCGCGATTCATTTTGCCTAAGATCACGATTATCTCACGATTCTGTAGATGTAAAATAAAGGTATGATAAAAACAAATTTATGGCAAAACATCAATAATAATATTATGTTTAGGTCTACTGGTTTCTATAAATAATTCTATTCTACTATAATAATTCTGATGTTGAATTATTATGTTTGAGATTGCAATCTGTCATTAACAACATTGTTGGACAATTTTATTCACTGGTAAAATCAGACATTTGTCATTATTAGATTATATTCAACAATATATAGGCTCGAGTAGGTATACTGACACTGTAAACATTTATTTTCATGCACCACTCTGTTCACTATTAAAGAAAACACATATCAAATGCTTGTCGTAATCATAACTCTTAAATGCAATATGATAATTTAAATGAAGTGCACGCTTTCGCTTATATTTTGACTGCTAAGTGCTTGTTCATACTTCACGCGCAGCTCCCAAACGATCAATCTGTGCCACAAACTGAATATTATTTACAACTGTAATACCTGTTACAGCATATGCAGGTTCTGTTCACTAAAGTAGGCGCACACTCCCTCCCTCTCTGTGATTACATCTCACGGTCAGCAGCTCACGTCACATGTGATTTCCCGGCCGTGAAAACATCATTATATGAAGACAAAAATTATTTTTAGGTGAATTATACCTTATGAATACAGTATGTGACTCATTCAACATCATTTGGAGGTGTCCATGTCACTGAGCAAATGTGTGTGAAACAATGAAAAGACTCGTGCAGCCACCTTTTCTTCTCTCCTGAACTTGAAAATATGATTGACAGAATCGTAGTAATGCTGGTTTAAGATCGTCTACGGTGTTGAATCGAGATCGCAATCTTTTTTCGATTAATTGTGTAGCTCTACGTCCCAGGTTTTTTTTTTTTGCAGTATTGTTTTCACGAATCCACTAGAGGCTGCTGTGCATGCTTTTTGAGATCTCAAATTTCTCTTGCGAGTGCCATTCGTGCCTGATGTTCTCACGTAAATCCACCAGAGGCCGCTGTCGACTGATTGAATGACTGACTGACTAACTGACTGATTGACTGACCCACCCTCCTCCTTCCCTAAACCCAACCAATAGTATATTCAAAAGCACTGATTGACCTGCCCAGCCATTACCCTAAACCCAACCAACAGATTCCCTAAACAGATTTTACCACATTTTCACCGTTATTTACTTAATTTTTAATTTTTTGGCTTCTGTTTTTGTTTTACCCACTTTCTAGAACTGTTCTTTACTGGACTTTAACCTGTCAATGTGGTAAACTCCTTTCTGTGTCTCAAGTCCACCATCGTACATGGTGAGCTAACTGGGCAAACTGGTAACAGTGGGAAATCCGTTCATACGGAGGTTAGTGGTCAGCTGGTAGCGTTCATTTTAAAAACGAAATGCAGCCATACGTACTTCTGGCTACATAATTTGCGATCTCCAGAAACGTATATAGGGATACGATTTCAGAATGAGCCTATGTTGCACAAAAATCTTGCACAGTATGACATGACATGAATTTTAGAATTTCTCCTGCCTAGCACTTCATCTTGAATATTTTTTCACAATGAGAATTGGATGGAAATATTATTGGATTGGCTGTAATTGCTTGTGCAAACTATGTATCATAACCAATTATGAGCAGGCATGATTACCTTTACTTTTTGGACATACTTCATGCTGAGAATGTGTCTATGATGGCCTAAAATGAACTGAGCAAATCTCTCTCATGGCTATTCCTCTGCAAATATTTTCCACATGCCAAATTCATTTTATGAGAATTATTCCATAAATGATACACAGTGGATTTCTGTAATTAATTCCTGTTTCATTCTAAGGACTAATTTATTAGAATTTTACTCTAATTGAACCATTCATTTCAGGAGGTTATTGCTGAGATACGGTGAACTCTCTAATGGAGGTCATTGTAAAATCCACTGATCTTCCCACCACAGGGGGTTGAGAGGTTTCTCATCCCACTCCTTTACTCACACTCTCGTTTTGTGTCCTTGTATGCATCAGAGATATTTTTGGTGTTGTGTGCTCTGATCACATGCTATTCAGTTCTTACTTTTAGCAAGGATTCAATTTCTCTTTTGTAGGTACTTCTTCTTTTATTCTGTTGCTTTCTCTTTTTGCACTCTACCCCCTTACATAAGACATGGACTTGCAGGTATGCTATGGTGACTGATTTATGGTCTTTAGATAGAATATGAAGAGAATGTGGCATTTGCTGATCAAGCAGGTTTGAGAGCCCTAAACACATACAGTACAAATCTGTCACTGAAATGTCACAGGCATTCATAGACAGCTAGTGATTGGTTAGACTTAACTTCATCTATATAGGTAATGATATGTCCCATATTTACCTCAAGTTGTGTTTTCTGCAGACGGTTAACCATGGGAAACGTGGAGAGCCAAAATGGAGATCTTGCGTACTACAGTCAGGGACATGGCCACATCTCACGAAAGCACATGACCCGATCACTTCGCATATCTAACAAACAGTCTCGACGATCACGCCATGCCTCGACTAGCAAGGTTGAACACCGCAACTCTGAGTCCAGCACAAAGTCCAGCAGCACTCCTTCCATCCCACAATCCCTAAGTGAAAATGGCCTAGAACCGTTTAGCGAGAAAAATGCTTTGGAGAGCTATGGGGGAACCATTTGGGTGGACCGAATGGCAATGAACTTGCGGCCAATGTCCTTCCATGATAACATTGGTGATCCCACCATTACGCCAGGTTCAGAAGATGGAGTGGAGATGGACACAGTGGTGCCAGATGGTTGTGATGATGATGGACTTTTCACAGGTGAGGACACGTACCTGCAGAGGACCAGAGATGGTCCTCGGGAAGGTGGCAGCTTCAAGAAGAAGCGCTCCAAATCTGCTGACATGTGGAGAGATGATTCCATGGAGTTCTCGTTGTCAGACCTTAGCCAAGAACATCTGACAAGCACAGAGGAAATTATAGGGACAAATGAGGATGAAGACAAAGGCTTTGCAAACTGTGGAGGACGCCGTCGTACCTCCAGCCCAAGGACACTGGAGTCTCATTCAGGAGAGAGAGCCAACTCTTTAGATGAACTTTGCACACAGAGGCTACCTCCTCTTCGTGGCTCGCACCATCTTTATAATGGACACAATACAGAGAGGACAGAAGGTATAATGAATGGCGAGATCTTGTCTCCTGCTGAGGAGGAAGGGAATGGATATGGAGCGTACACTCTTCCCTGTCGTCGCTCTCACTGCCTGTCAGAAGGGTTGTCCAATCACCAGACTACCATCTGCTCACGTATGCAGGGACGACGAGCACAAACAACACATGTGAGTTATTCTTCCAACACATGGTTTTTTACATCCTCAAAAAATATAGACAATCAATGATTTATGACAGTTATGAATCATGTGCTTGTCCACTTTGTCCATTTTCAAGGTTCTAAAATAGTGTCATCTATTCATTGTATAACTTCGTTGCTAAAAGTGCCTGATCCCCCGGAACTGGTTAAAAAGAGGAATCCCTAATGGGATTCTCTGAGGAAACACTTTTAACTCTCCATCTACTTTTAGGTCTAGTAAAATTCAAAAGATAAAAGCACTTCAGGACCTTTAATACTAAATTCTAATAGGCTTTTGAATTTCATCTTTGTGCATATATAATGTGATTTAATTGGTCTTTTCTAGTCAAAGTGTTTCCGATTTTGAAAGGTCTTGATGAAACTTCAAACAATATTTTCCCTCAGTCATATTCACTACTACTACACTGCTACTGTGGAGACCAGTGTTTTTGAAACATGATACTTCCTATGATCAACCCATGAGGAACTTTAGTGTCAGCACAGGGAACCTTCACCTTCTCTTTAGCATGCCTTCCTCTTTCTGTTCCTTTTTTACGCACAGGTAAACAACTACAATATAAGTCACTTCCTTTGTTTATGTCAAAAGAGAAAAGAAAGAGGAACCTTTTAGAGTACAATGAAAGTTAACTTCCATTATTGTTTTTATGAAAGGTCAAGCAGTTATTATTGTTTTGGTTGACATTCTAAGAAGAGATATGTTTTGGACGATGTCCCGTATAAAGTTCTGTCACATTCAATCTTCATTAACTCATTTTCTTTGTGTGAAGGATATTACGGCTGGTGAGGGCAGTGAATATGGAGACAGCGGTATTGATGGTGGTGCTGCTGAAGTTGAACATTCCTCCCGCCGTTGTAAGGCCATGTCTGCATCCTTCTCCGTGTACTCCACCGCTAGTGAAAGCATCTTCGCGGGAAGTGACAGTGGCAGTAGCAGCGGAGGCGGAGGAGACCGTCAGCAAGGTGGAGATCAAGGCGTTTATGAGAACTTCCGTCAGGAGCTGGACATGAACTCCCGACAAACAAGGGAATGCCTTGAGGAGGCCAGTTCAGCTGCCAGCGATGAAAGAAGCAGTGGAACTCTGAGCTCCATTTACCCCTCTGACATTCTGCTCACCGCAGTGCAGGGCACTGTACGAAAGGCTGGCATGCTGGCTGTGAAGAACTTTTTGGTGCACAAAAAGAATAAGAGGGTGGAACCAGCAGCAAAAAGGAAGTGGAAGCAGTACTGGGTGTCACTCAAAGGTAAGCTATGTTTGGAAAAGCATGTTGCTTATACTATTTATGCAGTATATAGTATGAGTATGGTCCATAAAAATACCAGGATGAAATATTCAGAGGGTATTCTGTTCAAATCAATTGCTCTGTACACTTGCAAAATTATACACTTTGTCACTGACAAGACTTTGGAGTTGACCATACATGCTTTTATCCAATCATGTCTTGATTACTGCAACTCTTTTTGCTCTGGCCTCTCCAAAACTCAAATTTAACCTCATCAATTTGCGCAGAATGCTACGTTTCTTTTTAAAAATGAGGAATCAAATCACTCTACTCCTAAAGGCATTTCACTGACTGCCTGTTTAAATTTAGAACACATTTTAATATCTTTGTATTTGTTTTCTTGTATTTGTTATCTCTGCACTGTCAAGCACCCAACTATATCTGAACTATACCCCCTCGAGAAGTCTAAGATCTTCCAACCAGTACCTTCTTTTAATTCTGCACTTCAGTCTGAAGTGCAGAGGAGATTGGGCCTTACCTTTGGAATGACTTGGCAGTTGAGATCAGAATGGTTCCTTGCCATTTAAGTGCCCACTAGTCCCTATTTTTAAGGGTGCTTTCACACTTGGTTCAATTGCCTGGACTGAAGTTCGATTGCCCTCCCCCCCCTCCCTTCCCACCTTCTGGCCTGTTTTGTGTTTACACAGTCTTTTTTCCGTCTGAACCCCAGTATGCTTGCGTCATCAAGCTGCTGTTTTGTGTACAGCTGTTGCTAGGTGACGGCCAAGAAAGCAAAGCACCAAAATGGAGATGCCTGCAAATCACGGTCATTCTGCTTTTATTGAACCTTTTTGTGTTGTTACTAAAACCAAAGTACCGAGAGCCACTTGCATCTATCTGCTGCAAAAAAAATATTAAAAACATTTTGAACATCACGCAATGTCTGCACACGTTGGATTTGGTGGAGACAAGCAGACATTATCACTGTTTGAACTGGGTCAGTCCCGTTTGTCGCCAAGTTAGGTGATACACAGACATACACACACACACACACAAATAAACATTATAAAAATTATAGTTTGTTGCACAGTTGGTGGTTCACTTCCATTATTTGGTACGATTGCATTAACATCAAAAGTGGACCGTACTAGAGTTCATACAAACTGTACCCCAGACCACCTGGAAACTCGAGTACGGTTTACGGGTGCGCATCCGAGTTTAAAAGACATGTTCATATTTAAATGACGTCAAACGAACCCGCGTGTGGACTAATAGTGCTAGCACCCTAGGTAAATATCAAAAGCCCACTTGTTTTCATTGGCCGATTAATAATTTTATTTAGCCTGTTTCATGACTTATTTGTTTTTCTATCTTCATCTTTTTTCTTTCTCTCATTTTGTATTTTTAGTTTTATCATGTTGTAAACCACTTTGGTTAGTCTAGTTGCTATTTAAAACGTGCTATATAAAACTAAATAATGTAAACATGAAACTCTGTTTTACAATGCAATGCATTTAATTGATCTTTTGTTTTTAGACTCCTTCATCCCCCTTCAATTAGCAATATGCCATTTACCCCTGCTATTTGACGTCAGGCAAATCACACCAAGTACTTTGGATTTTTATTAAAGCTTTTGATTCAGGCTGTTTGATGTTAGTACACTTGCCATGACTGGTATCCATTCATCCTTTTTTATGTTCAGGGACTTCAGTAATAGCTATTGAAAAAGAACACAAAATAGCATCAAAGGCATCACAGGTCATCCTTTGTGTCAGAAACATAATGAGGTTTTCTGAAGGTTTTTAACAAACCTTGTGCCATCTATTAAAACTAATATGATTTTTACCAACATTGTCAACACCCATCATTAAAATATCCATGTGTTTATTATGATAGATATTTTGAATCCTAAAACTTTACTATTACATTTCCAGTGACTATTCTTTCTCGCCTTTTGTCCCAGGATGCACTCTGTTTTTTTATGAAACGGATGGACGTTCAGGAATTGACCATAACAGCATTCACAAACATGCAGTCTGGGTGGAGAACAGCATTGTCCAAGCTGTCCCAGAACACCCTAAGAAAGACTTTGTGTTTTGTTTAAGCAATGCACTGGGAGACGCCTTTCTCTTCCAGGTAAGACAGTCTCAGAAGATCAAAATTAATGTGATTGATTCAATTTTAAGCACATGAAGATCAGTGTAGTGCAGAATTGTCCCATATCAATCCTCATGGTTCTCTGTTTCATTCAAAACTGCTGAATGGTATTTCTGAATTTCTATTAGTCTCCGTGACATTTTGTTCTGTGACAGCCAGTTGACAACATCCTGGTTACAATGTGACATTTTTAAAGGTTAACTAGTCAAGCCTTACAGTCAGATCTGGGTGACTGTCATTGTGTTTTTGCACTGACAGATTCTTGGTGTTTTCTTTGTGATAAAATAGTTTTATGTATTGATGTTTAACCCTATATGTCTGAAGTGCCAATTTTAGATACCAAGCTTCAAGGTTTGCCCTATTTTCACCAAAATATCTGTAGTGATCATAAATAATGTCGTGATTTACTTTTTAGACATCAGGTCAGACTGAGCTGGAAAACTGGATAACTGCTATCCACTCAGCCTGTGCGGCAGCCGTCGCCCGCCAGCACCACCGCGAGGACACGGTACGTTTGCTGCGCTCTGAAATCAAGAAGCTTGAACAGAAGATTGACATGGATGAGAAAATGAAGAAGATGGGCGAAATGCAGCTTTCTGCAGTCACTGATGGGAAGAAGAGGAAGACTATCCTTGATCAGGTATGCACAGGCCGTGTTCTGTATGTGTTCCCACTTTTCTGACAGTCTGAATCATGCCCGATAAAGTCAAAGGAATCCTGTATATTATAAGGTTAAGGTACCGTTAAGTCTCAGTTGCCATTGGATTAATATAAGGTATTTATCCCCAAGAGTTGAGACAACTATGTTAACTAGGTGTCATTAGATTATTAGTAGTTTGACCTTTGATATTATCGTTTGATAGTGATTTACTTGGTTAAAGGTTCTGTAAGTAAGTTTTTGACTCTTCTAAAGAATAAAAATGGCATAATAGGTTTACAGATACTTCAGAAACATGCTAAGTGATTATTATTGTTTATCTGAAAAACAATAAGGAAATCAGATATTCTGCTTTGATAATGTGTTTTCTGTGCTGGAACGCTGTCTTTGCTTTGGTTTTTTTATCAACCGACTGCCAGTTTAGCTAATAATATTTCAGCACCCCAGGTTACATGGTTGTAAAACCACATAGACTCACAAAGACTCAAAAATGAGATGTAGATTCAGAGTTCCACTTGAGGTTTTAGTTAGCAGATAATATAAATATTACAATGATGTGTAAACATCAGTTGAGCAGGTTACATTGTAACCCTGTGTCCTAACAACACGCTACGTGACGAGTTTTGCAGTGAGAAAGCAATTTAGCTGTTTGCACTAGACGAAACGCTACAGACATTTAAATACAGCCATTCAGAAGCACAAAATACACACTTCCTCACGAAATGGTAAGGTTTAAATCTGATTAATAAATATTAAATCTCTTTAACATTATTAAATGTACATGTTGAATCACTATGTGTAGGTTTTGAGTCACAGTTCCAATGCCCAATTTCAAACGTTTGATTTTATTTTCAAGATCTGAGGTATGCTGCTGCATTCAGTAGTACAGCAATAAATGTAATGCAAAATGGCATTCAAATTCATATTATTAGCTTTTAACACTTAAAAAAGCACATGAGGTGTACCTGAGGTAAACAGCACTGTCAGTTTGCTGCAAGAATTAGAAGCCACTTTTAATATATCAATTTGAGATGTTGGTTAGAACAAAAACTCCTTTTAATATGAAAAATATTCCCTTTATTGCATGCCTTTGCTTTAACTTAGAACATGACTTAAATCAGCCTGTAGGCTCGATTGTCAGACTCGGCCCTCGATCTGCCAACCTGCGCTTGCGTTTGTTTTGATCCAGGAACGTAATACCTAGTTCAACCACTGGGTGTCAAACTTACATACTGCACTTTTAAATAGGATGTATTTATTATCCAGTATATCTATAAAAATGTTTCGCTGTGCAAATTTACTTATGATCCATCGCATGTAAAATAAAACTTTGTTTTTACATAATACATGTGTATGTCATAAATATGCCTTTATTATTTGAATGTAATGCGCACATACATAAATACAAAACCATACAAGTTTATATTTAATTTGTAATTATACGAAAAACAAATACATATTTATTTTGAATTAAGTATAATATTATCTCAAATTGTTAACTCAAAAATATGCATGCATGTGTATAATAATATTGTATTATTGATAATTATGTAGTAATAATAACTTAAATAAATATAACATTTTATTTTGAATGCAGTTTATTGTTTTTTATTTTAATAATTATTCCCAGATTTGGTGATTTTGACATTTAAAAACTTAAAAGGTTTTAGACGAGTGTATAATTGTTTTGCAAAGGATTGTACATGTTTTAAATGTGCCTTTCTGAACTAATCTCTGACTAACATGTGAATTGATTGTTCTTACATAAAAGAGGAGTGTGTAAATGCGTGTTTGCTTATTTGTGTGTGTGATGTACTTGTCTGTTTATGTGGAGGTGGGGATACTCCTCCGTGGTCTCGGAATAGACTCAGGTCATGCTGGCTTGAAGGAGGCCTGCTGACTAATGATTTATCCCAGCATCCTCCCCCAGTAAACAAAACCGTATTAAAAACACTGCCCACTCTCTAATAGTCAGCAGCTTAAGGGCTCTCATCATTGTGTGGACAGAGAAAACAAAAAGTGTTAATGCTCAAGTATTGGCAAAGTGGGATAAGAAGTGAATTCTTTCTTTCTTTGTGTTCAGATATTCCTCTGGGAGCAGAATTTGGAGCAGTTTCACATGGACTTGTTTCGGTATCGCTGTTACCTGTCCAGCCTGCAGGGTGGCGAACTTCCAAATCCAAAACGCCTACTTGCTGTTGCTTCCCGTCCCACCAAACTGTCCATGGGTCGTCTTGGCATTTTTTCAGTGTCATCCTTTCACGCCCTGGTATGAAATACGCACATATACTTCAGAGTACACTCAGTACTCCCTCTTTCTTTCTGTTTCGCACTCATCCTCATCTCATTTACACTCTCGAGCACGTTTTGTTAACATCCACTTCGTTTTAATCCACTCCACAAGAGCCCGGTGAGCTCTGAGCTGCCTGCCAGCTGGTTCTTGGCCTGAGTCCTAACAGAAACTAAATAACAAAACATGCTGTCATCATTGTGTTTTTTTATTTCTGCGGCTCGACAGAGAGCATACGGAATGGAGTAAAATGCAGTCAGAGAACCACAACTCTCACCTCAAGAGAGTCACAGCAATGCATAGAAAACCAACTTTTATTTTATTACATAACTTGTCAATTTCTTTTAAAACCAAACCAAGTTTGACAGAAAATCATTGGCACTTTAAAGGGCTGTCTCAGCAGGGTGTGTTCACAACTTTAGTAAGAAAAAAAAAAAAAGCAGGAAAGTCCAGCTTTGTTTAGGTGGCAGTGTGGGTGGGAAAGAGAGAAGGGTTTGCATAAAATAGGGAGCTTCAGTTCGGGCACACGCTGATTTTCACTGAGGCAAAACAACCACACAGACACAGAGGAGAATATATGACTGTCAACATCTCAAAAAATATGTTTTGGTGTTTCTTGACCCTTTAAACAGTAAAAAAAAAAAGCATTTGTTGTCAATGGCACTCAAGTGATTGATCAATAACTGTCTTTTCACACAAACCTTTTAGTTTTGTTACAGTTTAATTGTTTTTTTTTTTCTTAAAGCATCATCACCGGCTACTATCTAAGCTGTCTTTTTAAGTGTTCATTGTTATTGCTTATTGCTTCTAAAAACTAAAACAAGTCACAAAGGCTATGTCTTCAGATGCTGTACTGTACTGTAGATTTCAACCACTGTGGTTTTATGTTTATGGGAACATTACTGAGGAAATCCTTTATGACTTCTGGGGAGCTAACATTTATTACCCCAGAAACGTCAGTGTGGTTTAGTGGTGGGGTGTGTGAACGGGACATCTTCACACTATAGCAGTTTATGTGTGTACTACTTCTAAAATAAGTCATGTCAGATTTTTTTCCCCATCACTGATCTTTATTTGAAGCCTAAAGGCAAAGGGATCATTTTTTCATCCGCTCTCTTTATTTCACATTGACACTTAGGCCATTTGTAATCAGTGAAGGTTAAAACTAATAAGTGGAGTTAAGGGCAACAAATTCAGAAAAAAATCTAAATGTTAACATTTTAAATGCTGCTCTACTCGAACTGATGTCTAATATTGTCACCAAAACAGTTCACTTAAATTCATTTACACAAAAGTAAAGATTTTGAACAATGTTTATGCTGCACATTTACATGCAACTATCTTTTTTTTTTAAATTATCACTATAAAGGGATACAAATGAAAGTTTTGTCTGATTTCTCACCCTCTTGTCATTTCAAACCCCTAAGACCTTCATTATGTTGGCTTGAGAAAGTCAACATACTGCTTTACTACTGTTATTCAATGTACTCAAAATCAAAAGTTTTTTTTACTGATATAGCAAGCTATTTTTGCATGTAGCACTTTCACACTTATTAAGCATTATATTGTCAACAAAATATGGAAAGCCATTTTTACATAATGTTCAAGTTTTCGACTGTAAAAAAGACTGTCATCGAGACATCAGGGTTGATTTATATCACTCATATTGGCAAGAAGCTTTGATGTATCATCACTAAGCTGTCAAATGTCCCCATAGCAACAAAGCAGGCTTACCTATAATCCATTTAAAAACAGTAATATCTCTACACCAGAAGATCATAGGGACCTGAGTATTGGCTCGTTTGACTCATGTTAGCAAATTGGGACCTACTGTGTACTATGCATGTTTACAATGATTAGCCAAATGGTAATAACATTGTTATTATGCTATTAATGATTAACTAAGTGCAATAACATATGCTAGAAATGCGTACTTGGTATTACAATTTGCTCAAACATGTACGTGAGGGTTGCCATTTCGCAACCCACTTTACATTAGCAACTGCCTAGCAACCACCTAGCAATGCCATAAACATTTTAGCAACTAACTAACAACCACTTAGCATATGGTATATACCCTGCCAACTGCTATTCCGAATCTTAGCACAGTCGCAATGGCTTTCTCAAGCCAACATCAAAATTTGTCAACAAACTTTAGGTTTTAGTTCATGTTTAAAACACATATAAAGATATTTTGGATTAATTCTGTGAGCTGCTTCATCCTCTATAGACATTGTTCCAGAAAAATACTGAAAAACATCATCAAAACAATCCATGTGTCTTCTGAATATTGTGAAGCAACAAAAATACTTTTTCTGAGAAGTCATTCATTTTGTTTTTGTGTGAGCTCAAAGTGTTCTTGTGTCTAATATTCCGTTAGAATCACTGAATATGGTCTGTTTTGAGGATGTTTTTAGCTATTTTTCTGGACATTAAACAACCCAGGACCATTGCTGTAGGATAAAGGAGCTCTCAGATCTTATTTAAAATATCTTAATTTGTGTTCCAAAGATGAACGAAAGTCTTGGGAGTTTGGAACAACATGAAGACAAGAATTTATTAAGAGAATTTCCATTTTTGAATGAACTTACCCTTCCTCCAAAGTGACAAATGCTAAATAGCTGTCAAACTGCACATGTGCTTGACACTCTCTTAAACGTTTATTGACTTTCTGCGTGTGTGTTGATGTTGCACAGGTGGCTGCGAGGACGGACGGGGGGATTCGTAGACGCACCCAAGCCTTGTCTCGCTCCTCCAGCAAACGAAAAAGCCGTTTCTCCTCGCTGTGGGGCCTGGACACTACCTCAAAAAAGAAAACCAAAGGCAGACCCAGCATTAACCAGGTTCACATCTGCTAGACATCTGCTGCAGTCTGTTTATGACACATTTAACTGTTTATTCGGCGCAGTTGTTAGTCTGCATGCGTTGTAGTTAGTGCATTAAAACAACTGCATGATATTTACTCCAGATTTGTCTCATTAAGTTATTCTGTTTTATCCTCAGGTGTTTGTAGACGGTGAACAGCCGGTTAAGAGGAATCTGGAGCACATGTTTGAGGACACTGGGAAGAATACGCTGGTGAGGAGGACTCTAACACTTCACAGCATGCTTTACATAATTAAAACTGTCAAAGAAAATGCTGTCAGATGCAGAAAGGGTAAGAGCTCAGGCGTTTGGGCTGTGCGGAGCTCTCAAAGGGTTAGACAGAGTTAAGACACCCAAGCTGGGCTGTTGGGCCTCGGGGAGAAGCACCGGGCTCCTCTCCCACCCGGCCCGTCCATTAACAGCCTGGAGATGAAGCAGATGGCGGGTGTTTTGGAAGGGTAGCATGTGTGTGTGTGCGCGAGTCGTATGAGTGACAGAATGTTGGAGTGTTTAATGTATTGTCTGCATGTGTTTGCCAGTGTGTGAGTGTGTTTAAGTCCCTCTGACCCATTTCCCGCTTTCCTTCACCATGTGTGGGCTTGCTGTCTTTCTATGATGGTGGACCACCATCACAGCTACTCTGCGGGCAGATTGTTGAGGGGAAGGGGAGGGTGCTAGGCTGTCACCCGATAGTGTGGGATAAGCTATCTGAGCCAGGCAGCATGCCGTCACTGACAACAGGCCAGACCCGCTGACAGACCCAAGAGCCCCCGAAAGACCCCACAATGCACATCCCAGCCGCTACACGTCAGCCCATCGATCACCCGCCAGACCTCTAACTGCGCCGTTGTCAGACAGAGGCGCTGAGTATTGCGCTGGGGTTTGCACATTGCTGCGCTTGGATGCCAAGTTAATTAGAGTCAGATTAGATATCATCACATTGTCTGCTGCATCGATCCAGACAGCTCTGCTTAAGTGTGATAAGGCCGATTTGTGCAAATACAACCAGAAAAGTGACACCTTGATGAATCTACGCTTTTGTAGTTTTTGTGATGTCTTTTTGAGGTTGTCGATTTTCCTTGTGCATTTAAGCTTTCGTTGATGGCAACTTGAAACTGACCCTATTTTTGTTTTGTTGATGCACATTCCAAGTTTTATTGCACATTATGAGTAAAACTAAGAGAAACAAACATTATTTTCAACCTTCCCTTCCAAGTAATTTTATATAAGCTCTATAGATAATAGGTTAATATTGACCAATTGATCCAAGCAATTCCAGGTAGATCAAATATAATTCCATTGTACTTTTTTAGCATTAGCCAAGAATGCACTTGCAGTTTATTTAAGTAAAATACACCAAATAACCACCAAAAAAAGTTTCCTGCATTTGTAGGGTTGTGTAATAAACAAGCATATAAGTATCTGAAATCTATATGTATCTTGCTGATAAGCAAATCTGGGCTTAAATAGTGAAAGGATTAGTTTAAAAAAGGCACATAATTGTAAAATGTAAGTAAAACTTATTTTTAAAAAAAAGTTAATTTTTTAAAATAGACTCAAATCAGCAAAAAGTTGTAACAGTATGGAAAATGCAAATAAAAAAGAAAGTAGCGATTTCTAAATTTACTTCGACTTGTATTTCATTGCAAACAATACAACAAACATTATTTAATGTGTTCCTCCTGATTTTTATTGTTTTCTTTTTAAAATAAACATGTATTCCAATTTTGGTTCTGGCAACACGTTAAAAAAAATGATTTAGCATTTTATAATGTTTCCATTCCCTTTCACAACACTTAAGAGAAGCTTAGGGACTGAAGACATCAACAGTAGTGATGAGGTGTTTCAGGTGTAATTTTGTCCCATTCTTTCTGCAAACAAGTCTTAATGTGAGTCTTCGGTGTCGCATTTTGCACTTAAAAATGCACCACACATTCTCTTTTGGAGACAGGTCAGGACTGCAGGCAGGCCAGTCACGTACCTGTATCCTCTTCCTCCACAGCCAGGATTTTGTAATGTGTGCAGAATGGGGTTTTACGTTGTCTTGTTTAAATAAGCATGGGCGTCCCTAGAAAAGAAGGCAGCATATTGTGCTCCAAAATCTCTATGTATCTCTATGCATTAATGGTGCCATCACAGAAGTGCAAGTTACCTTTGCCTAGGGCACTGACACAACCCCATACCATGACAGACCTGGCTTTTAGACATGTTGCTGGTAACAGTCTGGATGATCCTTTTCTTTTTTTTGGTCTGAAGCCCACGGTGTCCATTTCTTAAAAAAAATAAAAAAATAAATAAATAAATATCTGAAATACTGATTCATCTGACCACAGTACAAATTTCCAAAGTGTGATGGTCCATCCCGGATGCCTCCGAACCCAGAGAAATCGACAGCGCTTGAAGACACTTAATATAAGGCTTACTTTTGGCATAGTACAGTTTTAACTGGCATTTGTGTATATAACTATGTATGGTGGTTCTTGCCAAAAGTTTGCCAAAGTAGTCCATGTTGTGTTATCACTTATGCTGAATGACGATGAATGACGATTCTTGATGCTGGGCTGACTGAGGGGTTGGAGATCTCGGTTGTTCAGTTTAGGTTTGGGTCCTTGTTCTTTACATTCTTTACATACAAAAATTTCTACAGATTCCTTGATTTTTTTTATTTATTTTTTGCTCTTTTAAAGGTGAAACATCTTAATGTCGCTCTATTTTTCTTTAAGGAAAATTGTTTTTCAACATTTCAATAATTTGAAGATACTGAGATTTATGTCTATATCAGTCTGATATGTAAAACAGACCAATAGAATACTATATATACATGTAAATAAAATGTAGATTGATATCTAATGTTGACTTAGTTGGCATTTTAAATAAAAATAAGTATTTCTGTATCGTACATAGTTTGAAAAATCTCCACATTACATCAGCCTCATTCCTAAATTGTTTATTTCTTTTTTTCATTTGCTTTAGCACAAAGACAAAGACGGTTCATTGAAAAGCCTGCCTCAACACAAGACAGACAATGAAGTTTGGGTTCCCGACTACCTCACGCCATCCTGGGTCTCTTTACCTGACGATCGTCCAGTGTTGGCTATCATACAACCTGGAGAGACGGCCATGGAGGCCCTGGAGGCCCTGTGCAAGGTAAATGTCAGATATACTCACAAACAGAACTGTTCAAATCAAATAGATTACCATGTGACTGCTTGAATCCTGTCAAAATGAAATTCCAAGAGAGAAGAAGCAAGATCTAGGTTACTGTTCAGTCCTCATATTGCATACATAAAGTTTGACACAATAGGGTATATGCGGACCTAGCGTTTCTTCCCATACTTATAAACTTCCGATGAACGGTTAATGTGACTTTTTTCCATTTTATACGGTTCCTTTTACAGCATCGATGTTGTAATGTAATTAAAATACAATCAGTTAAATAGTCTTTGGCATTCATTTAGTTGTTCAAGCATAAAACGAGGCGAAAAGCCATCAGGATCGGCAGGCTAGCGCAGAAGCTCAATTGTATATACTGGGGTAAATTAAATGTTCATATTTTGAACACATGGTGGGTAAAAATGTAATTTAATACAGTGCTTCTTGTACAATTTGAGACCCATCGCTGATATTTAAAGAAAACAAACCTCAAACGCGACGATTTTGTAATAACATACCGTTTACAAGAAGCGCTTAACCCAGGCTAGTGGCAAATTAAAAGTCCTTCCGCATATACCCTATATTATGGTACGTCATTATGGTGTCAGAATAGAAATGCCTTTTATAAGTTCCTTTCAGAATCTTTCCTGACAAAAAAGCATATTATTGATGAAAATTTAGTTCACATATAAGTGTTTTAATATTAAAATAGAAATCTAAAATAGCTATAGCATTACCTCATGTTAGCTACAGTTATGTCAACTGTACAATGCGCTTCTTTTACAAACAAGATATCACAATTCCATCATCTTGTAGACCATCAACTTTAAAGAAGAGGAAATCTGACCCCTAAACACTTCAGTATCATCAAAGCAGAGTAATATTATGATTCCGGCTAACATCTCACTTGTCTCATTTCCTGAAAACATGAACCTCCCATTCTTTAAAGTTTTTTTTAGGAGAAACCAAAACTTATCGTACTATTTCCTAAGGCAAACTGCTAACGTGTCAGTGAATGATTTCTTCTTGCGGTTATCTTCCTGTTATCATTCTGCTCTAGTAGCTCTCGCTTCTCAGCTGCTAGCACTGCAGAGTGTTCTAGAAAGCTCTTATCCAGTTTCTCGTAAATATGTCCTGAAGCATTTGTGTAGCGAGAACACACACACGTCCCATTCACACTCGAATGCCAATGGAGCAGCACATCCAGCATCTACATTTATGAGTTATGTACATGCATCTCTGTAGATACAGCGTAACATGAAACATAGAGAATTCTTAATAAATCATACTGCCACGGAGGAAAATGGACGATCTAAATCGTAAAAATGGTTATTTGTCAAGTCTTGAAATTAAATATTAGCCAATTTACACTGGCAAACATAAAGCTCTCATCTTCTGTAATGGCCTTTTTAAAATTAATTTTAAAATGGACGTAAATAACACCACAGATTAAATGCTGATGTTTATATGACTGAATGTAAATAGCTTCTCAATGGTTATTTAGAATTTCTCTTTTGATCAGCTGATTGGACTCTCTGGAATTTTTCATTCTGATTGGTCAATTTCAGCATTTTGTAGACAAATATGTTTAAATAAAATCAATAAGGTGATATCTTATTGAGGGATGTAAGCTTTATGGCTTCTATCAATCTATAGTCTCATTATTCTTAAAATAATAGCTTAATGTTATTTAGATCAATATTTCATAACCTTTTAAAATCTATACTAAATAAATAACAAAACATGTCTTGAAATATTGATTTGAAGAGAAATATACCATATAGTAAGCAGTATAATATAATATAATATAATATAATATAATATAATATAATATAATATAATATAATATAATATAATATAATATAATATAATATAATATAATATAATATAATAGAGTTCTCACCACACTTTCCATCATAAACTGATAAACAGCTGTAGATTCATGTCCTTTCTGGACCGCTGGGAGAAAGAGAACATTTTTGAAGAGGTTATTGAGTGCAGTACTTCTAGATGAAGGGCAAGGGGTCAGAGTGAGGCTCATAACCTCAGATGTCTCTTGAGGGCTTCAGACATTAGCCATCCCCCATCATTTCTGCTTAGTGATCACACAGACATCCTAGCAATGGCGCCGTATATAAGATCACAATCCATGCGTACAGTACTCCGTAAACATAATGGGCTCTATTTTAACAATCAAGGTGCAAAGTCCAAAGCGCAGGGCACAAAAGCATTAAGGGCGTGTCTGAATCAACTTTTGCTATTTTAAGAAGGGGTACGCTCTGCACCTCGACCATGGTCTAACAAGGTTGAGGTTATTCTCTTAATGAGTTATGGGTGTGTTTTGAGAATAACCCAATCAGAGTCTCATCGCCCGTTCCCTTTAAGAGTCAGTTGCGTCGTGCCATGGCACATTTGCTATTTACAGACTTTTTAAGTGGAAAAACTAAACACTTCAATAGTGAGAAAACAGTTAAATAGCATCTGCAGCATGAGGATAAATAATGAGCCTCCTCCAATCGGCCTTTACTTTCACTTTCTCTCTTTTGTGGAAAAGAAAATGTGTTGTACACAAAGACATCCATTAGCAATGTGTAAGCGAGGCACACAAATAACGTGCTCTGCGCTGGACTTTATACCTGCTTTCAGCTGGTCTATTGCAAAGTCTATTTTAGATCCCCAAAATATTAACGCGCCAACAATGCGCCTTAATACACCGCTTTTCTAGACCGGAACACAAAGTGTCCACAAAGTGGCGCAAATGGATATTCTATTTAAACATTGTGGCGGAAAACGGAAAAATTTAGATTGCATTGATCTGAAAATAACAACACGTTGGGGAATCATGTCGTGCAACTTTATTGAGCCAGGTGTATGATAGGGCCCAAGGTATAATTTCTGACAGGCTGACAACTAAGCCTAGAAGAGTTTTTTTTTTTTTTTTGTAAAATGTTTAGAAGCTTGTATCTAACTCTGAATAACATGTTGCTATTCTGATTATTATTATCTTTTTAAAATTGTGAGTTAATATCTGTTGTTGCAGTGTATTGTTATCCATGTTTTCATCAAACAATTTTAACTTCTTTGTTCTGTATTCTGTTTTGTTTACATGACAGCTAAAACAGTGATAAACTACTGAAGTTTTTTTTTTCTTTGTGTTTCTGACAATACAGATGATAGACAACAATGTTGTCCAAAAGATCCCTGTTAACACAGATCTGTTAAAACAACAAAAATGTATTTATCATGCATTCCAGGACAGTAGATGGCAATTCAACATTGTAAAAAAAACTATAAGCCTGTGCAAATGTGTCCTGTAGAACATTACTGCTGTATTATTTCCCGCACATGCCTACAGATTAAATAAGTAATACAGTATGCATGCACATAAATCCATCTTTGTGTTTTTATTTTATTTTTTTTTTGTATTGCCATAACAGCTTTTATCTCACAGTTGCATTTTACAAGCAGTAAACTTGAGTTTATACAATTTACAATTTGGACTTACTCCCCTTAATTTAAAGTGTATATCTCATAATTCTGAAAGTTAAGTGTTTATTTTATGCTGTTCTGACTTTTCCAGTTTAATTAACAAGGATTAATGCTAGTGCTCAACTAAACTGCTTATTAGAACTGAAAAAAACTTGCAGTGACATGTCTTAAAATGTGTTGGTGCAATTGTTTTGTATCAATATGCTCCACAGTAATGTTTTGTTTTGTTTTGTTTAGCATATTTTGAAAAGCTTTTTAAATTTTAAAGGCTTTTTACCCTCATTTATTTAGCTACACTATAAAAATGCTGGGTTTCACACAATGTTGCCCCAAAGCATCTCCGTTTAGTTAACATTATTACAAATTTCAGTGGAGTAACCATAAAACAATTAAGTTGTCCTCCCAAAAAAAAAAAAAAATCTAAAATAATTGTGTTGTTTAATCTTAGATAAATAGTTTGAAGAAGCAGCAAAAATCATTTTATGAGTGTAAGAAATTACTTTTTTTTACAAGCGCTGTTTCTGAAACTGGGCTTTTGGGTCTTACAATTAAAAGCTACGTGAAAAAAGTAGTCAGATCTAGGAAATAAAACAGTTTGTTGATGTGTCTTAAAGTTTTTATTATTCTAAATTCAGAAAAAGGCTTCTATATTTTAGTGTAAAACAAGACACAAACACTTATAACAAAGTGATAATATGTTGTTTGATCCCACAGGTTCACAAACTGGAACTCTCCAAACACTACATACGGCTGAAGTTTCTCATCGACAATCAAGTGCAATTGTACGTCCCCAGACCAGAAGAGGACCTCTGTGACCTGGTGAGTCCAAAGAAAAGAGCCTGTCAGCGGCCACACCGTGTCCTGGACAGCTAAGAGCACTTAGCGGTCACAGACACAGCGTGGGGTGAATTTATTAGACTGTGACGGCTCTGCAAAAAGTTTTACGTTCTGACTGCAATCTAGGTTAAAGCAAGTTTAAACTCTCCGACAGCGTTGAGGAGAGGCTGCTGCATATGTTATGAATTATGTAGAAGATGCATGTACTGCATAATGCACTCTGAATAGTTCTTCTATCCCTGTAGCTGTGTGTTTGCGGAGTCAAGGGAAAACCACCTCTGAAACTACTATGCAACCTCAAAAGCTAATTTACTTAGCTCTTTTTTTTCATGGCCGTTCTTCTAAGATGACAGAGCGTCTTTGTGTTTTTTCCGTGTCTCCTCTCATATTTTCTCTTTCCCTCTGTAGAGACTTGACTCTCTCGTACTTTTATTCTCCCAGAAATGATCAAAGCTTCAGTTTTGTCTCCCGCTCTCTTGAGAATGTGCTGATTTTTATTTAGCGTATATAGCCATGCCATGAATTTCAGCAGACTAAGACATTTTTCCGTGATGTATGTAAGCCCTTTCTGAAGTCATACAGCAAATGAACTGTACATCCTAAGAGTGCAATCAATCTCTGCCTCTCTCTCTGTTTTCCTGTGTTCAGCTCTACAAAGAAATCGAAATTTGTGCCAAGACAACCAAAGTCATCCAGTTTGACAGAGATGAGTCCTGTGCCATAGGCTATGGTAATAATGCTTTTTAGTTTATTTCTGCTGTTATTTCATATCTTAGTTCCTTTATTAAGTCATTGACTTATGTTTTCTCTCGTCTCCAGGTTTCTCTGTGGCAGTGGTAGAGGAGGATGGAGGCCAGCAGCTTCATATCACTGATGTGAAAGCAGGAGGTCTGGCATTTGCCAAAGGTGTGTGATAGTACTCAGCTGACAGTTCTTATTACAGCTGAACCATGTACAGTGTTGGGAGGATACTTTGAAACTGTAACATTAAGAATAATATATAATTGCCTATACCAGTGGTTCTCAAACTTTTTTCCCCAAGTACTAACCACCTCAGAAAAAAAATTGCCTCTCCAAGTACCACCATTATGACCGGTATTAAATTACAGTAACGTAACCGGCCTAATTTAGCAGCTGCAGCTCTGTTAAATATTCTTATATTTATGAATATTCATTATTGTCAGCCATTTTAACCATTATAAATAGTTTAAACATTAACACAGAACTGTGCTTACAGAAAAAAATAAAATAAAACGTCAATGTTTGAATTAAAATGTGCTTTTAAAAGTTAAATAAAAATGGCACTGCAATTGTTTTGAAAAAAAATATATATAGCTAATATAAAATATAAGTTCAAATATTCAGAGAGAGAAAAAAAAAAATATATATATATATATATACATATATATATATTTATTTATTTATTTTTTATTTTTTTGACAAATAAGTTCTTTTCATTGCCTTTAAAGTGAAATAACTAAACATAAATATAGGAGTATATATATATATAAATATATATATATATATATATATATATATAGTCTGATATAAATGCTCATTTTTGAGGATCTATCTATCTATCTATCTATCTATCTATCTATCTATCTATCTATCTATCTATCTATCTATCTATCTATCTATCTATCTATCTATCAGACAGACAGACAGACAGACAGACAGACAGACAGACAGACAGACAGACAGACAGACAGACAGACAGACAGACAGACAGACAGATAGATAGATAGATAGATAGATAGATAGATAGATAGATAGATAGATAGATAGATAGATAGATAGATAGATAGATAGATAGATAGATAGATAGATAGATAGATACCAAAAAATGAGCATTTATATCAGACTCCTATATTTATATTTAGTTATTTCACTTTAAAGGCAATGAAAAGAACTTATTTGTCACTATAAAAGTAAAATTATAAAAATATATTTGACCACCCCTATAAAGGTTCAAACCATTGTGAATGCATAATCCCACCTATCAGTCTATTCTAGAAAAAAGTCTGAAATTGGAAGATCTAGAGCACTGATACATTTTGTTTTCTCGTAAAACAGTTGTTTGTATCTACATTTATCCTGAAAGTAAAGTCAAATCAGATGCATAATGTAAAATCTGAAATAGCTAATCAGAGAATTCTGTAGGTCAGACTACACAAAATATCCTTCAAAACGCTGTAAACTTAAATATGTTGTATTAATAAACTAGATGTAATTAAAAATAAATACACAATTGACTGAAGCATGTATTACACTAACTAACCAAGATTGTCAATGTATAATTCGCACAGTGGTAACAGCCTCACCTGCGGTAGTTTCAGGAAAAACTGCTGAGAAATTAGCAGGGGAATAGAGAAGAGCCTGAACTGCGCTGACTGACCCAAATCTCCACTGGACTGGAGGAAAATCATTTAAAAAGCTTTCACATGAGCACAGGATTACCAAGAGAAGCAAATTAAAACCATTACACACTGCCAGTGATATCTGTGCCAAGCGAATGCGTTCATTAAGAGCAGTCTTCAGAACAGTTTCAGACACTCTCTGTTCCAGTATGTCCCAGTATTGAGTGTCAGAGTATTTTAATTAGTGGTGCTTGCTAAAAGTTTCTTTTATTGTTACTGCTTATACTAAAAGTTGGGGATTTGTGCTAAACCACAAAGTATTATGTTTGAATGTGTCTGAATGTACAGTATAGAAAAGACTTGGTCTTGTTAGCCAATTAAACCAGACTATTGTTGGTCTTTTCTGGTTTAAGCTGATTTTCCAGCCATGTTTAGCCTACAGCAGTGGTTCTCAAACTGTGGTACGTGTACCACTAGTGGTACGCAGGCTTCCTTTAGTGGTACGCGGAGGAATGAAATATGTCATGTACAGGCTACACACATTTAAAAATGTATAAAAAATGATGGATATAATATGCCATATATGACACATAGCCTATATTTTTTAGGTAATTTCCACATTTTTTTTAACTGTGCAGAGTTGTAGCTGCTTTATTGGGCCTACTACACTACTGTTTTTCAATACTGCTCATTTTGGTGGTACTTGGAGAGACTATTTTTTTCTGAGGTGGTACTTGATGAAAAATGTTTGAGAACCACTGGCCTACAGCATACAACTTTCCAGCCTGGGTAGCCAAAATAAAGTGTTCAAACGCTCCCTTAAACTTGCCTTCAGACAACTAAGAAAAGCAAACCAAGCTTTTGTTTCAGTGTTGTTAGTATTTCTACCCAGAAGGACTTGCAAAAGTGGCAGGATAGTAGAAAAGGTTTGTCTGGATGAATAAGTCAGGTGGATACAAATGAAAGTGGACAGTGTCTATTTTATTTATTTGTTTATTTTGCTTTGTTTGCTTGTTAAAGAATATTCTGCACAAACCATTATCTCATTCAGACCATGTGCTGTCCATATTGAATGAAGCGAGTGTGTGCGAAATACACACGGACAAATTGGCTGGAGGTAATACTCAAATCCAGGACACAGTTTGGACGCACAACACTGGGGGCGCTTGTTGATGACATCACCTCAACATTCATCATCACCCCGTTGCCCTGGGCAAAGCTGAGCCATCCAATAAAAAAGCCTTTATTACAGCTGACATTTTGCTTCGTGTAAAAACTGGGTCACACTTCAGGCAGTGAGTGTATGCATGCATGTGTGTAAAACCATACAGCATTCAGAAAAGCTCAGCAAAGGAGGGGGGGATTTACATCCTGCATGATTTTAGGGGCTGGACCCTAGTGTCGATAATCAATTAAAATGGCAATCCTGCCTAACAAGCATTATCTTTGCTATTGGAGGCTAATTGAGCAGCTGATGTGTTGTTAATTGATAATTTAGTAAGGGGAGGAGCAGAACACATCCTTTCTTTGTTCTCTTTCTGCAACAGTACATTTACAAATCTGCTTTGAATCTGTTTAAGTCTGACGTCACATTGCAGTTTCTGGGTCTGAATACTTATCAGAAAGCAATAAATGATAGTATTATATGCAGACAGAGTTCTATAATACAATTTAAAATCATGGTTGTAATTTTTATATCCATGCTCAGACAGACAGTGATTTCTGTTTTATAAATAGTTAAAAGTCCCCAATAAACTGCTATGAAATGTGCATTTTTTGTTGGATGTGTGATGTAATCTCAATAGGCTATATGTACAGTGTTTTTCAGCCAATGATGAACCTCCAGTGAAAGTTTTATGTGACTATTTTAACTTCATAAGGTTTACAGCATCGACGTTGTAATGTAATTCAAATATTTAATTCATTCATTTTGTTGTTAAAGCATAAAAAGAGGCGAAAGACGGTTTAAACGCAGGTGCCGTCATTAGTGGCAGGCTAGCGCTGAAATTCCATTGAAAATACTGGAGTAAAAATAATTTCCATATTTTAAAGGCATGGCGCAAAAAAATATTATTTAATGCAGTGCTTCTTGTTTGGTCTGATACCCACTTTATATCGTATCTCGGCCAGGCAGTGAAGATTGCTGTTTTTTAAAGAAACCAGACCTTAAACGCAGCGATTTTTTATTGGAAGACAATTAACCGTAAGCTCTGGGGCTGGCTGACTGAATTTAAAAGTCTGTGTGCATATATCTCTTTGTAACATGAAAAGAGGGTGGGACTGGGACATATACAAGTGGTGCTCGCTGCAGAGCCATTTGAGGAGAGCTGAGCTCCAGCGAGGGGGAGCTTAAGCTTGAGCTCCACCTTTTTTGCACTTCTTCTACGAGTGATGTCACTGGGGGTAGGGTTAGGGGTGGGGTTGGTGTACACATTAAAACAGCTTACAGGAGGAGGAGCGACAGCTAATGCTCCCCCTCGCTGGAGCTCAGCTCTCCTCAAATGGCTCTGCAGCGAGCACCCTCTCGACATATAGGAGCTCCTCCTCTTTTTAAAAACAGCAAACAGCATTTCGTTTTTTTATCACGGCTCTGCCAGTGAATGTGATTGAGCTCAAGCGCATCAAATGAAATGCAAATGAGGAGCCTCTCTATAGGGGGGCAAGACATGTCAGATATTGGAGAGCATTTGATTGGTCAGAAGATTTGATGAGAAACTGAAAAATGAAGTAACAATAAAAAGTATATAAGTGGAGGTGATATTTTCTAAATGCAAGTTTTGTCACTGTTTTGAAGCACACTAGCTATTCTACAGGTATCTACATGTCTAAAAGATATTATTAAGACTAGCATGCTGATATTAACATCTAAAAAGATGTATTTTGATTCCACGGGGACTTTAAATATTGATGTCTGGGATGCAGAGACTGTAATGAACACCATGATATCGTAAAAGATTCAATATTAAGTTCAATATAAAGTTTTCCAAGCATCACAATATCACAGTTAAATTAAAGGGCACCTATGGTAAAAAATCTACTTTTCAAGCTGTTTGGACAGATCTGTGTGTTGGTATAGTGTATAGACCGTCATACTAGGGTGATATGAACACACCCAGTCCTTTTTTTTTCTATTTAACTACAAAAAAAGGGTCGGCCAATTGGAGCTGTTTTCAAATCGATCGCACCATTACGTAGGTGTGCGATCCCCCCACCCACCGAATTGATTGACAGCTGCGCGCATTAACATGTTCCGGTAGTTACGTGTATATGTCAACAAGACCAGGCAGACATATGCAAAGCAACCGGGAATAAAAGCTCTGTTCTGTTCGCTAGGATCAGCAATCTTCATCAAATGTGATTAAGAGTGAGTTTCACATGTTTAAAGTGTTTTAAAACAGAGTATGTGTGTAATTAATTACAACGTTTTACTTCATCTTTACTTTATCAGCACAGCCGCGTGTCAGAACAATTATAAAAGAAGACGCTTCAATCCCGGTTTGTGGAAGTTAAATCAGGTTTATTTTGTAAATTAGCATAACAGATATCCACACAGTACTTGAGGTTAGCCTTAACTAAGCTAAGCGCGCTCTGTCTGTCTGTCTGTTTAACTTATTTTAATAAATTAATCAGGTTTCAGCTACATTTTTGAAGTTATGCAAAGTTTAACCTAATATTTTTTAGTCAGTTTGATTGATGTAAGTTGAGATGACTAGAAAAGTTCATTGGATTCAGCAAAAAAAATTAATGCAGCAAGAATGTTTCTACAGTGTAGCCTCTGACATGTTTTAAGATAATTTTTTAAATAATTTAGAAAATTTTGTGCGATGCCCAGTACATTTGCTAAATTTGCTTACCAACTTGTGATTGTGTGTGTTCAGGTCTGCGAGCCGGCGATGAGATCCTGAAGTTGAACAGTAAACCTGCGAGTGTATTGGAGTTGGCAGACATGCAGGCTGCGTTTGCTCTGCCCTCTCTCACCCTGACTGTCAGCACGCTGCCCGCTGCCGATCCGCACCAGTTGTGCCAGCTTCCTCCTCGCAGATCAGACGGAGCGCAAGACCTCTGCACTGACATCTTCTCCCAGAGTCAAGGTAAACTTCTTCTCCGCTGTCTTCCGATATTCATATATTTGCATATTTTATAGTCATTATCAGCATATTTTGGTGACACAAGAGAGAGTGACTTACAGACTCATTCATTCAACCAATCACAAATATATTTTTAAACTGTAATATTCTCACACTTTCTAATATATTTTTAAAAGCTATTTTAATATCAACTTTTGGATACTTAATTTTTTTTAGGAATTAATTCATTCATTCATTCATTCATTCATTTTCCTTCAGCTTAGTCCCTTATTTATCAGGGGTTGCCACAGAGGAATGAACCACCAACAATTCAAGCATATGTTTTATGCAGCGGATACCCTTCCAGTCACATCCCATTACTGGGAAACAGGAGTTAATTAATAAAACTAAAACTTTAAAATAGCGTTGTTGCTTGACATTCAAATTAAAGGTAATAAAACACATATTATTTTAAAAACATATGCATTTTAAAAAAAAAAATTATTTCACCTAGCTTTCACAACAATTTATTTATATCTCATAAAATATTTTTTTATCTCAACAATTTATTTATCTCATTTATTAATTCATCTCATTTACTATAGCATTACTTGGTCTTCTAAAACTACAGACATATCAAAAAATTATTAAAAATAGCAAATAATAAAATTATAAAAACTTTACCAGAATTTAAAAAAAAATCTAACTTGTGATTAAAACCTATTGTGTAGTTTTATAGTGATACTAAGCATTCATTTAAAAAATATCTGTAACATTTTAAGTGTTAATTTTTACTAATGATCAGTTTAAGGCATCTTAGCTGACTAAATTTGAAAAAATGTTTCAGATAAAATGTCTCTGGTACAGTCATGTTCTTCACCCACTGCCTGTCTGTCTTTATTGCTCCCTCTAGAGGACATCCTGGATGAAGGTCTTGGCCTTGTGCTGCATAGCCCCGATGACACAGGCGACGACAGGGTAAACCTGATGGCTGAGAGCCCCGCTGACAGCCTGGAGGATGAAATCGACTCGGCACACAAGGTTAGAGACCACCTGCCATCAAGATTCATCATAAACACCACTCTCTGCTCGAACCACCAACCGTCCGTCTGTCTGTCTGTCTTTCTGAAATGTACTTGACTGAGTGTCTAGTTCTGAATCACACAGAGCACATCATCTTTTTATTTTATTTCTTTTTAGTTTTATTTATTTATTTTTTTTCATCAAGGTCCTTTGTTTATTATTTTTGGAGGTTTTTGATGTTATTTGCGGTGAATAACATAGACTAAATTTTTTTTAAACGATTTTAAAAGAAGCTTATTTTGTCATCAAGGCAGCATTTATTTGAAATAAAAAATACAGTAAAAAATTTTTAAATGATAAAGTATTATTACAATTGGAATTAATAAAAATAATAATTATTATTGTTATTATTATTATTATTGTTATTATTGTTATTATTATTATTATTGTTGTTGTTATTATTATTATTATTATTATTATTATTATTCATTCATTGTCTTCTCGGCTTAGTCCCTTTATTAATCTGGGGTCGCCACAGCGGAATGAACAGCCATTATTATTATTATTATTATTATAACAGTTAGGCTGCTTCATATTTTTGTTGAAATATTGATATAGTACCATAAAAAATGTGTTTACTTTAATTAATCAAGGAGACAATCAACAGAAGTGAAATTAAAGACATTTATAATAAAAAAAAAAATTTTAAATTCTAATAAATGGTGTTATCGTTTCATAAAAAAACAATGAAACATCAACAATCTTGGTTTCCATAAAACTATGAAGCTGGAAAAAATTGAATATTTATAATTATAATAATAATTATTAATGATTGATTACCAAGAATAACAGAACAGTTAATCAGTTTATTATAATTCTTGATAAAGGATCATGTGGCTGAAAACTGGGGTATTGGTGTTAAAAATGCAGCTTTCAACCACAGGAATAAATAAAAGTTCAATTTGATAAGAAATCGGTTACTTTAAATGGTAATAATAAATTACAATTTTACTAATAAATGCAGCCTAGGTGTGCAGAAAAGTCTTCTTATAAAAACATTTAAAATGCCAAACTTTTGACCATGAGTCTATTTTCTGAAACGGAGGGTGTCTGCAATCAGATGGCTGGTTAAGAGCTTTGTGTCATGTGATCTAAGTGACCTTTGCTTTTAAGGCTGCGTTCAGAGACGGCAGCAGATGGGAAGACAGGTTTTCTTGCCTGGCGGTTCTTCGCACATTCACACACTCATACTCTCACACAGAGTGATAGTGATGACACCGTCTGCCTGATAGAGGTCAAGATCACAGGCGACTGTCTAACGCACACAAAGATGGAGGAAATCTGTCAGCACTCACTCATACCTAAAAGTATGAGACCTCCAGTTAACATGTGCCTACAGACCCTCTTTACTGACTCTGATTACAGTTATTAACATCAGCATTCTAGCAATGCTTGTTTTTTTTTTATAATTTTATATACATTTACAGAGATTGTGCTTCAGTACTGCCATGAAATCATAGAAAACTGGTGAAAAACGTGTTTCGAATACAACAAATGAGATTTTTCTCTCTTTTCTGATTAACATTGTAAATGTCTTTATTTATTTTTTCTTTATAACATATTGAATCAATTTATGAATTTAACTTAAATATTTGTGACCCGGGACCACAAAACAAATCAAATGTGCAGACATATTTGAAAATCTACAAACCGAGGGTTTAGAAAAAGTTGAATATTGAGAAAATTGCCTTCAAAACTTTAGATACATTTACGTTATTAAAAATGTCTTCTTGGAACTTAATCTTTACCTAATATTCTAACGATTTTTGTCGAAAACAATCAATAATTTTGACCTGAATGTTCTGATCGATCAGCTGGAGATTGGTATCAGTCGATAATCACATTTCATGATTTGATAAGCACTCGCTGATCTGTCTGATCTCATGAACCGATCGCAAGTGTTTGTTTATAACCCAGATTATACATCCACAGTGTTACAACAGGTGAGCAATGTTTCCAAATCGCATTGTCAGTAAATTGTTTTATCTTTTTTTTTTTTTTTTGCAAAGCTGCTTCTTACCATTACTTGTGTGCAACATCCTTAATTCATTCCATTAGGTAAGGCGAGATCCCATACTGTACATAGAGGGAAAATAAGCTTATGAAATGACTTAGTTTTATAAAGCTAAAATGTCAGAATTGGTACTTGGTATCGACTGATCACAATGACAAGAAATCGATACTCAATTTTGGCTACAACAATACTGATTGGAGCATCTCTACTTACAATGTAGTTTTGCCAATGCTATTGGCAAAAATATGCCCATGAAACAGATACTGTGGTCCAGGGGCACATACAGTTGCAGTCAGAATTATAAACCCCCCTGTTTATTTTTTTTCCTTAATTTCTGTTTAAAGGAGAGAATACCTTTTCAACACATTTCTAATAGTTTTAATAACTCATTTCTAATAACTGATTTACTTATCTTTGCCATGATGAGAATAAATATATTTTGCTAGATATTTTTCAAGACACTTCTATACAGCTAAAGGCTTAACTAGGTTAATTAGTTTAACTAAGCAGGTTAGGGTAATTAGTTATTGTATAACGATGGTTTGCTTTGTAGACAATGGAAAAAATATAGCTTAAAGGGGCTAATAATTTTGACTTTAAAATGGTTCTTAAAAAAGTTCTTAAAAACTGCTTTTATTCTAGCCAAAATAAATCAAATAGGACTTTCCCCAGAATAAAAATATTGTCAGACATACTGTGAACATTTCCTTGCTCTGTTAAACATCATTTGGGAAATATTTAAAAAAAAATAATTATTAATTCAAAGGGGGGCTAATAATTCTGACTTCAGCTGTGTATAAACAAAGTGATTGCGGTTAGATAAGAAATTGGATGTTAGTTAAACAATAATAGTTGTATAATTTATATGCTGTAATTGCAGTGAAATTTGCAATTTTAAATTTACACTTCAGCTTGTGAATTAAGGCCAAGTTGTGCTTGAAGAGTTTTGACCAAAACGTGTGATGCTATTTCAAACAAAACAAGTTGATTTCAAGAATTTAAAATGACTTTGCAAAGAGAACTTTCTCAAAAACTGCCCAAACTACAAAAGACTGCATTGGTCATGTTTGTAGTTTAACATAATACATTCGATGAATAAATATTGGTCCATGTTTAATTATATACATAATGCTGAATTTCATAGTATCACTTAAGTTGCATGAAAATTTACAAATTATTTCATTTTTACGACTGAATTCCTACAAACCTACTGTATGAGTGAGATCTGTCGATCATTTGGTGTGATTTTTAAAATACTGTATTGCTTGTCCTTCAGTTAATCAGCATCTGACCATTTGTATATGTTAATTGTAAATAGCAATCTAAATCATCCCGAATGTTAAACATCGCTTTATCATACTCCATGACATTTCTTTTGCTGTCATTTAAGGTTAAGTTTGATTTTTGAGTCTCAGATTTTCATTAAGATCTCAGATGTTTGAACTCTCATACAAACACACACACTATGTAACTTCCACTTCAATTGTTTTCTGTATAAATGGTATAGCATTGATCGTCTCTCTCGTGAGAGTCCACACTTTCATCCTTACTCTTCAATAGCCTCAATAGTCTTACTCTCAGTAGGTCAGTGGGATTGTTTTTCTGTTTACTGACCTGATATCTGGCCTCTTTTTTGTTTTTCTTTCTTTATGTCCATGTCCTTGTCTGTCACACAGACACTGGCAGCCGGACACAGTCTCTCTGGCCTGTTCTTCGGCACACCATCTGTTGCAGAAACACATTTAGCCCAAATAATTCACCCACAACAACACCGTATTTTGTGTCAGAGTGTGTGTGTGTGGGTTTGTCTTGTCCAAATGCCCTCTGTCCTATCCACGATGCTGAATGAGTTGGTAGCATGTGTGTTTTGTGCTGGTAATTGACATTATGACACATGACCACACAATATAGATGGACTGCGTCATGGCTGCTGTTTTCGGACATCGTCAAACTGGGACAGAGAGACTCTAATTCTGGGTCACTGCTTCTAGTTCAGTTCACAGACCCAAAATACTCCATATCCCCAGTCAAAATTTCCACTTGGTGTCACTAGGAGTCAGTTTTTTTTTTCACTGATGTACTGTAATGTAGAACAAAACTTTACAATTTTGACAGAACTTCTCATGACTCCAACTGTGACTGGGGTGAGGAATCTTGAATATAAGGATTACAAGTTGTTCACATTCTTCCACATATGTGTATATTCTTACACCAATATGAGGAAAGGATACACCTGCAAGTGCAGATTTAATAGTTTCATTCCCAATGACTGGCTCTTATGAGCTGATTCAGTAAAAGTGAATCAAACACGTACAGTGCAGCTGGTATACGTTGACCACCAAATGAACGACTCATATGGGCTAATTGTATAAAAGTGAATCAAACACGTACAGTGCAACTGATATAGTTTGATTCACAGTGAACTACTCTAATAAGCTAAATCTGTAAAAGTGAATCAAACAAATACAGTGCAACTGGTATAGTTTGAATCCCAAATGAACGACTCTTATGAGCTGATTCTGTAAAAGTGAATCAAACGCATACAGTGCAACTGGTCTACTTTGTCTCCCAAATGAACGACTCATAAGGGCTGATTCTATAAAAGTGAATCAAATAAGTACAGTGCAAGTGATATGGGCTGCGTCCGAAACCGCATACTTCCATATAGTATGCTAAAATCAGTATGCGAGCCGAGTAGAATGTCCGAATTCATAGAATTCGAAAAACAGTATGCGAGAAGTACCCGGATGACTTACTACTTCCGGCGAGATTCTGGAGTGCCCATTCCATTCATGCTGCGCTATCCCATGATGCCCCGCAAGCGAATTCATGAATGGGAGTAAAGCGACGCAACTGACGCAAGTACATCACGTGACCATGACAGAATGGCGGATGCAGTGCGTCCGAATTCCATTAATACTTTTCTCAGTCATACTGTATAGAA